AGACACATATACTTCGCTATACCACAGTCCTAAGGACTGTACTCAGTTTATTTTGTACAGTTGGTACTGCGTGCCCGCGATAATGATAAAACTTCAACAATGACGACGGTAAATCCTTTAGAGGTATATATGTGCTATGATCACGCTTTTATGTTAATTAGAATTGTAAATTTGATTTTAAATTAAAAAGATATTGTTGGTAAGTTATTTCTTCATAAAAATGAGAAGAAATTATTAGTCATTTCTTCAAAAAATTGAGAAGAAATTGTTAACAAGTTATTTTTATGACACTGAAGTTACCAGACTCCTAAAAATTTTTGATTTTTTTTATTAATTGAATTATAACTAAAAAGATATTTTTTAAAAATTGCACTTATAGCTTTTCAAGTTTTTTACATGTGAAATTTTTTTTTTTAATTTTTTAATTGAAATTTTTTCGGCCAACTTCATTTTCATTTATTTTTTTATGAAAATTATTTTTTCTCAAGATTGAGAAGAAATTATTACCAAGTTATTTCTTCACAAAAATGATAAAAAGTTATTTCTTCACAAAAATGAGAAGAAATTATTCGAGTCATTTCTTCAAAAAATTGAGAAGAAATTTTTAACAAGTTATTTTTTTATAAAAATTATTTCTTCACAAGATTGAGAAGAAATTATTAGCAAGTTATTTCTTTACAAAAATGATAAAAATTTATTAAAAAGTTATTTCTTCACAAACATGAGATATTATTAACAAATTATTTCAATTGAAAAGAAATTATTAACAAGTTATTTTTTCACAAAAAGAAGAAATTCTTAGCAAGTTTTTTCTTCACAAAAATAATTCTTATGAACAAATACTTTAATGGAAATTTTAAAAAATATTATTTTTCTTCTGTTACAATATTATACAATACAATGTCTACAAAAATCGCGTGTCTTCGCTTGTATCTACTGTATCTTCGATCGTTTAAATGACACAATTTCGCTACTGCAGGTAGAATAGCTTCTGGATGCATTACATTTATATACATACTGCTTTCAATTGTAATCATTTTATTTTTATGCGGTTACATAATTTTTGTGAATTTATATGTATTTTATTGATATTTATACACTGAAAAATAAAATTATTAAAGGAAGAAAATAATTTTAAAGAGTTTGAATCAAGTAAAATTTTTTTCTGCCCTCCGGCCGGAAAGTGGCAACTTTCTAGCCGCTGCGCTAAACAAAGTTGCCACATTCCGGCTACGTCGAGCAGAAAAATAATATACACACCTTGGCCAGTAAAAAGTAAAGCCTCAGACCACATGTTTGTCAACCTCGGCTTCGCCTCGGCCAACAATTACATGTGGTCTGAGACTTTTCTTATTTTACTGGCCTAGGTATGTAATCTACTATTAATTTAAGAATTTTTCTACTCAAATTAACACAATAAAATTACTTTCTTCATTCAACTTATTTTTTTTTTGTGGATATAAATTACAAATATATAAAAAATGTACAAGTTGTTTGATATTGAAGTTTTTGAATTAAACCAAAAAACTTTCAAATTTTTAAATATTCCCAGGAAGATATTGAAAAGTTTCATAAAAAATACGATTTTATAAAATTGTACAAGTGTTATGGGTTTGTGAATAACCCTCACCTGTTGGAGACTCTTTGTTGAAACACACTTTACGCAACTAATGTAAAATGTCTGTTTTATTTGATGCATCTGTTCACAGATGCGAATACCTGCTGACACACTGTATATTTCTATATGGTCACTGCTCCTTCTTCATCATCTGTCGCTTGGTATTAAATAATTATTTAGCTTGACTGTCTTTTTTTTTCTACCAATAGAACATAAAATTTATAATTATACACATTAAGGACATCCTATCAAGGTATTTTTGATTGATATCTTAGTAACCTCGGAAATAGTCTAACAGCTTATATTGATTATGAATATCAAAATAGATAGGAAAACTATTTAATTAAGAATTAATGAAGACTGACTTGGGGCCGAATTGTAATAAAATATTATTCATAAAATTTTTACACAATTTGCCGGATCTGTTGGAACTGGACAAATTCGCATGAAAAAAATAATAAAAGAGAATTTAAACTGAAAGCCAACAGTTGAAAATATAAGTCAATAAATGGTCGTCGCTGTATATGACCTTTATATCTTTAAATAATTCAATTCGAAACTTTTAAAGTGTGACAATAACTTTTTCACATCTATTATTTCTTCTTTTGGTGACGATTTTTTTTTTGCTGAACTTTGATTATTAAAATTTAAAATTCGTCGCATTTATTTTTTATTTTTAAATAATTTAATAAAAATTAATATAATTATTGATTTTTGATTTTCTATACTTAGGAAGAAAGATCAGCAAATTTGGAAGCTATGAAGTTTATACATCTAAATAGAAAAAAATTATTTTATGGTAATTATAATTTTTATTATGTATTAAAAATAAATTCAATATACAACCTTAAAAAATTTTTTATTTCTTCTTCAATTTAGATTGAATTTATTTCTTCCATTATACTGTACTGTTGTCAAGGCACTAAGGGTGTAAAACTGTAAAAGCTCAGATTATAACTGCGACTGATAATCATATTAATGATATTGCCGACTAATGTTACTAGTACGAAAGTAAAGAAGAAATAAGCATAGGGAGCGACATCAGTCTAGAGTGTAGATATAAAAAAAAAAAAAAAAAAAAGTAAATTATAAAAACAATATATAATAATTTAATAAATAAAAAAAATTTACAGATCTCTTTTAATTTCAGTAAGAAAAATTAAATTTAATTGAAAAAAATAAAATACTTACTAAAGATTTATAACCAACAATCCATAAGCCATTGAAAGTTTGAAATTCTCACAAACCAAAAGGTTGATATATATAACAGTAATAATTTTATATTAATATATATAAAAGTAAAAAAAAAAATAAAAATTTTGTTTAAAAAAACTCGGCTAAGTTTCAATAATTATGATATTAAAATTAGCTGTCACTTGACAATTTAAAAATTTTTTTTTCACAAAAAAATTTGTTCTAAAAAACTCTTTTTTAAAAATTGCATTTTTTAATTTTTAAAATTTCTACTGGTTAATTTTTTTTTTTATAAAAATTAATTTAGCACATATATTATAATTTTAAGAATTTTTTTAACAAATAAATTATGTCAAAGAAAATGAGAGAAAAAAATTGACATTTAGAAAATAAAAAAAATAAAAAATCCAATTTTTTAGAAATAATTTTTCAGAGCAAATTTATTTATTAAAAAAAAATAAAAAATTGTTAAGCGACTGCTAACTTTAATGTCATTTTTTTTTTGCGTTAATTAATTTGTTATAAAAATTATTAAAATGAGTATCTGCTAAATTAATTTTCATAAAAATTTGATCCAAAAAATAATTTTTAAAGAATTGCATTTTTTACTTTTTAAAATTTCTACGTGTCAATTTCAATTTTCATTTAAAAATTCAATCATGTACATCAACAGTAAGTTAATTAAACTAAAACAACTCTTCTGAATTCTCATAATTAAAATCTAACAAAGATAATATAAACAAAACACCAGTACGTTTTTAAAATGAAGAAAAAAATAAACCGCAGCGCCCTCGAAAACTGTGTCAGCAACGTCAATTTTTTAATATATAGTACAAATATTATGTATGTACCTATATTGATGTGTCAGTATAGGAAGTTACTTATAAAATAACATAAATTCATATATAAAACGCTTATTTTTGTAAATAAAAAAAGTATATATCCGCAATACGATAATTGTACACCCTAAAAATTTCATACAACACTTGACAGTATAATTGAGATCTAAAAATTAAACATATGTTTAAAGCTCTATCTACATGAAGTGTCAGATTTGACAGTAAAAATCTGAAACGTCAAAAATAAACGCCATTTATTTTTCCATTTGTTGTTAATAAATTTAAATGGTTAAATTTATATCTCCGAAACTTTTACAACGATAATTATCATGAATACTTAGTAAGTACCAGCAGGAATTATCTTTGCTTATTGATTTTTTGTTTTTAGCTTGCCACTTAAAGCGCTATTAAATACTCTAAAATAATTTTATGAAAATTAAGTAAAAGCCGATATAAAAAAATATTTAGAATTGTTTTTGTTGAAAAAAAAATTTTCATTTGTATAAGACTTGCAAAAAATTCCAAGTGAAATTTTTTTTATTTCTAATTTAATAAATAAAAAAAAATCAAGAAATTAAAAACGTCGGCTAACTTTAGTATTATAAAATTTTTATCATAAAATGTATCTGAATTATATTAAGATTTAATGAAATTTAAGTTAGCCGACATTTAAAAATTTTTAGAATTTTTTTTTATTAAAAAATGATTGAGAAAAAATAAAAAAAAAAATTTTCACTTGTAAAAAACTTTAAAAACTGTAAGTGTAATTTTTTAAAAATATTTTTTTGTTCTAATTTAATTATTAAAAAAAATCAAAACATTAAAAACGTCGGCTAACTTAAGTATCATTAAGATTTAATATTAACAAATAAATAAATAATTATAGTGACAAGAGAGGAGGAGGCTCAGAAGTTTTCTATGCCTAGTTTATTTTTCATAGCAGTCATTAGATAATTTTTTAATATTTTTTAACAAACAAATTTGTTCAAAAAAATAATTTTGAAAAAAATAGCATTATTCATTTTTTTTCTTATTTTTTTAGCCATAATTTATTTGTTAAAAAAAAATTCTTAAAATTATTTAATATCCCAAATTTATTTTCATAAAATTGTCAAGTGTCTGCTAAATTATTGTATAATTAAATAATGAAAATTAATGTAGCATATATTTAATAATTTTTAAAATTGTATAACAAATAGTTTATGGGGAAAAAAAATTAGAAGAAAAAATTGACATCTAGAAATAAAAAAAAATAAAAAATGCAATTTTCTAAAAATAATTTTCTGCAGCAAATTTTTTTGTTAAGTAAAATTAAAAAATTGTCACAATTTAATATTAATAAATTAATTATAATTACAGTGACAACAGAGGAGGAGGTTCAGGAGTTTCTGGCAACGCATTTGATCGTTGGGTCCAGCGTTCATCAGACATAGCAGATGACTCACCAATAACAAAAATGCAGCACCAATACTGGGTGACCAAGCAAGCATTATCCCGGAAACTCGGTAAAAAAGAAGACGAGTGTATTGTCGCATCAGACGCTGAGCTCGACGCAAAACTGGAGCTTTTCCGGAGCATACAAGAGTCATGCACACATCTTCTTCGAGTAATTGACAAGTACCAAGAAAGATTGTGTATCTTAGCTCAGGAAGAGAATGCAATGGGCCGGTTTTTAAAAGACGCTGGCAAACAAGACAAAACCCGAGCTGGTAAAATGATGTCAGCTGTCGGTAAATCTCTGTCTTATTCAGGCCAACAGCGGTTGACTCTACGCGGGCCTTTGGTAAGATTGTACCAAGAAGTTGAAACTTTCCGGCATCGAGCTGTTGAGGATACTCTTGAAACTGTCCAGTCTATGGAAAAAGCACGTACTGAATACCGCGCGGCTTTGTCTTGGATGAAAAATATTTCCCAGGAACTAGATCCGGATACTTCGAAGCAGCTCGAGCGCTTTCGGAAAGTCCAGACGCGTGTAAGACGTGGTAAAGGGATGTTTGATAAAGAAGCGCTTGATTGCTTGCAAAAAGTTGATCTTCTTGCTGCTGCAAGGTGTAATATGTTCAGCCACGCTCTTGTCTTGTATCAAAGCACGTTATTAAATTTTACTGAAAAGTCCGCCCAAGCTTACTCGACTATTGCTAATAGTTTTAAAGGCTACCAGCATTATGATTTTATGGTGATTAAAGAACTTGCTGAAACTTCTTCAAAATTAGCTAAAGAGACTGGCGGAGATAATGACAATTTTTTGAACCAAGAAAATAATGACAATAAAGATAAGCTCCTGTTTTTTGATTCTGATTATCATGATCATGATAGTGCTGTTGAGCAAGCTCAGGAAGTAAAAGCTGATAAATCAGAACCTAATAAGCAAGATGAAATTTTGCTGGATATTGGAGAAAATTCGGGGGGAAATAATTCAATTTTTGAGTCTCTAAGCTTAACTGCTGATACTAGTGTTAAGGATAAAGATGAAAATTTTGATGGTAATAAGAAAGAATCAGGGAATGATGATAAGGAGCTTGAAGACTTTTTTAGTATGTCTGGTTATTCTGGGTTTACAAATGAAAAACAAGTCAGTGAGTTGGAGAAAAGTTTGGCTGAGCTAGACTTGGCTATGGATTCGTTTAATGAGGAGAATATTAATTTTGATTTTGACAATGCAACTTCGTTGCCATCCTCGGAAATTTCTAAGGAAAAAATTACTAAGGAAGATTCTGTACAATCTTTGACGTCGGAAAATATTGCTCTCCTGGAGGATATTCTTAATGGTGGAGCAAAAGCTAATGTTGGCTGGGATGAACTTATGAATGATACTTTTTTACCACCGGGAATTTTGAAACAAAGTCTTGGGGATGCTGCCATGGGGAAGAAATTGTGTAAAGCGAAAGGTGATGATGATAAGGTATGGATTATTGCGTTTTTTTTGGGAAATATTTACAAGTCGGCTGCCCAATTTCAATATACAGTAAGGTAAAAGACCCCATTAGTGGCACTTTTTCTTTCAATGAAAAAATGTTCTACTTGGAATAAAAATTAAAAATTTTTTTGATGAAAAGGTCTTGAAGATTATAAATAATATATTTATTATTGAAATTAGTGATTTAATTAATTGAATAAGTACCTAAATCAAAGAAAGTGTCAATAATTGGGGTCCCCGCCACTAATGGGGTCTTTTACCCTAGCTGACAATTTTAAGATTTTAAAAAATTTTTCTTGTTAAAAAAAAAATTTGCGCGCCTAATTAATTAAAAATTTGATTTATGTATAGAAGATACTTGAATATAAATATTTTTAAGAAAATATACTTGAAATTAAGGTCTAGAGTTATAAGAAATGCAGCAATACTAAAAAAAATCTAGTAGAAAAATTTTACAGTTATTGTGTTTTAAAATTGGGCAGCCGAAGTGGGGTTTTAATTTTCATTTTTTTAACGAAATTTTTTATTTTATTTTATTGGTATTTTTTTGAAATGTACATTAAAAAATGAACAATTATGAAAGAAAGATTGATTATCACAATTTTAACAAATTTTCTAAAATATTTATAAATTTTTTTAGAAAATTGTGATATTTTTTTTTTAAATTGTTCATTTTTTTATGTACTTTTCAAAAAACATATCAAAAAAAGATAAAATAGAAATTTTGTCCAAAAAAATGAGAGCCAAAATTTTTTCCAACCACTTGTAAATAATTACTTTTTTTTTTTTAATATATAAATATATAAATGTTAAATAATTTTGTATTTTGTATTTTAAGAAAAAGAAAGGAAACCAAAAGGGCAATTCATGGTTAGACTTATTCGCTGAATTGGATCCACTGGCGAATAATCCTATCGAAAGTTTACCACGTTCTCTTGATAAAAATGCGCCACCAGTGTAATTCTCTTCTTCTGGAAATCGAAGGAAAGAAAAGGCAAATGAATCATATTTATATTTTAATCATTCCAATAGCATAATAACAATTACCAATGATTTTTACCAAAGATTAAATAATAATAAGCATTTAAAGAAAAATAAAATTATATACTTCTATATAATATAAATAAACTTTATGTTGTAAATTTATAATTGAATATTCACTTTTTATATTTAAACTTTCAACCATATATAAAAAAAAAAAAAAAACAAATTTCTTGCGCCAAGAAACTGTTAAAGAAGATAAAAGTTATTTTGGAGCACGAAGAAATTTTTTTGACTCAAAAATCTATGACTACACTCATCGAGAGATTTCATTTGAGTACCCACATACATTTTTGATATATTTTTCATTTACATAATTTATATAAATATATGAAATATATAAAAAATTGATGTGGGTACTCAAATAAAAGGTCTCGAAGAGTGTAACATCGGGATGAGTTTATATCTTAGAAAATGTCAATAGTTCATGAGATACAAGGTCATTTCTTAATTATTGATATTTTTAAAGATGTAAGCCCATCTTGATGTTACGCTCATCAAGACCTTTCATTTGAGTACCCACATGCATTTTTTATATATTTGTCATATATACATATATATAATATATATAAATATAAGAAATATATGAAAAATTGATGTGGGTAGTCAAATGAAAGGTCTCGATGAGTGTAACATCGGGATGAGCTTATATCTTCAAAAATGTCAATAGTTCACGAGATACAAGGTCATTTCAAGAAATTTTCAATCTCTCTTAATATTTTCTTGAGCTAAGAAAATTTACACTCCAGTCAAGAATTTTTTTTCAGTGTATACATAAGAGTGAAAGGAAAAATAATTATTTAATTCTTGTGTCACTGCATTAATTTATACATCAGAATTCAGTACTGTTCAAGCATTCCAATTTATTCATTTTTTTCATGTCAAATTACCATATTTCAATAATAAAAATTTACTATACAATATTACAATAAAAATATACCAAATGGCGGTGCAATATTAGTAATAACTAATCGCAGCAAGTATAATTATACATTATTTGTTCTTATGCAATTTTTCAATTTTTATATTATTTTAATAATTTTTTTTTTTAATTCAGCTACTTATAAACAATAAATTAATAGACTAGGAACATCTAAATTCTTATTATTTGATTACTGAATAATTTTATAATTAATTGCTTCGTTTTTTTTTTTTTTTTTTTTTTTTTTTTTTTTTTAAACTTATAACTTCATTCACAGGGGAAAAAAATTCTAGTCTTTAGTTTGTAAAATAACGCATTGGCGGGATCACAGAGTTATTAAAGATAAAATCAAAAATAATTTTTCTAAATAATAATGAAAAATAAAAATATTCTAGGCAAGGATTTCTAAATTTTATTTCGATAGCTCATGGATCGAAAAATTGCGCCATTGCAGTTTTTACTCTGTAACAAAATTAATTTTTATTTTAATTTATTAATTAACTCTCGACATTCAAATATGTAAATAAAAAAAAATTATTTCCAAAAAATTACTACAGAAATAATTTTTTTTTTTTTACACATAAATTCAACAATCAAATACATACTTTTCCAATAATTGAGAATCTTTGGTGCAACGTAATTGCTGTAAAATTTGATAAAGTCCCAATTCACGTAAACGTGCTTGACGTTGAGCAGCACCAGGTTCTTCTCTCCAAACCAAATTACACACGCAAAATATAGCTGCAACTTTGAGTTTAACATTGCTATGCATCTAAAAAAAAAAAAAGAGATTTATCATTATTAATAAAAAAACAAAAATAAATAAAATTTTGCTTTATAAAATAATGAATTTTGTTAAATTGCACTGTACTTTCTTAACTATTGACTTTTTTTAAAGATATAAGCTCATCCTGATGTTACACTCATCGAGAACTTTCGTTTGAATACCCACATCAATTTTTCATATATTTTCTATATTTATATATATATTATATATATGAATATATGAAAAATATATGAAAATGCATCTGGGTACTCAAATCAAAGCTCTTGGTGAGTGTAATATCAGGATGAGCTTATATCTTTAAAAATATCAATTATTAAGAAATGACCTTGCATTTTGTCAACTATTGACTTTTTTAAAAATATAAGCTCATCTTGATGTTACACTCATTAAGAGCTTTCATTTGAGTACCCACATCAATTTTTCATATATTTTTTATATTTATATATATGTATAGATGACAAATATATGAAAAATTGATGTGGGTACTCAAATGAAAGGTTTCAATACGTATAATGTCGAGGTGAGCTTATATCTTTAAAAATGTCAGTCGTTGACAAGATACAATGTCATTTCTTAATTATTGACATTTTTAAAGATATAAGCTCATCCTGATGTTATATTCATCGAGACCTTTCATTTGAGTACCCATATCAATTTTTCATATATTTTTCATATATACATATATACATATACATAATATATATAAATATATGAAAAATTCATGTGGGTACTTAAATGAAAGGTCTCGATTAGAGTAACATCACGATGAGCTTATATCTTTAAAAATGTTAATATTTCACAAGATACAAGGTAATTTCTTAATTATTGGCATTTTTATAGATATAAGCTCACCCCGATGTTAGACTCATAAATATATGAAAAATTCATGTGGGTACTTAAATGAAAGGTCTCGATTAGAGTAACATCACGATGAGCTTATATCTTTAAAAATGTTAATATTTCACAAGATACAAGGTAATTTCTTAATTATTGGCATTTTTATAGATATAAGCTCACCCCGATGTTAGACTCATCAAGAGCTTTCATTTGAGTACCCACATGCATTTTCATATATTTTTCATATATATAAATATATAAATATGAAAAATTGATGTGGGTAGTCAAATGAAAGGTCTCGATGAGTACAATCTCATGATGAGCTTATATATCTAAAAATATCAATAATTCCCAAGATACAAGCTAATTTCACAATACACACCATATAGTCCATAAGTTTTTTGAGTACATCTTCATTAGCCATAATATGCTCCCTAGCGCGATCTCCATCAGCAACATTAGCCAGAATACACAGCGCCTGTTCCTTAACATCCACCGAATGATCCGGATCCTCCAGGACAAGTACCACCGCTTGCATGACATGAGCCGCATGTTCATCCATAATCCGATCAATATGAGCCTTAGTGGAGAGTAAATTCCTCAGTAAGCCCAGTGTCTTCATAAGAACAGCAGGCTCTGGATCAGCCAGCAATCTAAATATCTGATCCGTCCCCAGACACGACAAAATCTGCGACTTGACCCTCTGCTCCGCTTGAAAAGCCACATTCATAAGTGCCCAGATTCCATTGAGCCTCAGCGCAGGGTCCGGTCTCTTCGTTAAAGAACACAGTAGCTCCACCCCACCGGACTCAAGAATCGGTTCTTTACTCGGACTGAACTCTAACAATAAATTGCACAAAGTACTCGAAGCAACAGTCAATAAATCATCTTCACCATCTCCAACATTTAGTCCACTAGCTATCCCACCAGTAATTCCTCCAACCAGAGAACCACTGCCTTTATCAGCACCATGAAGCAGCTGCATAAGCGGCCGCCAGACCGCATGATCCTGAAAAGTCGTCCTGAGCTGCTGAACGCTTCTTGATAATGAATGAAGACACCTAACAGCCGCAAGACGAACTCTAGGACCTCCCGGGTCCTGAAGTCCAGAGACAATAAATTCCATAAGATTCTCCGTCTCAATAATCCTCTTGCGGATGTCTTCATCATTAGCTCCCAGAGATGCAAAGGCTCTGAAAGCAGCTTGACGCATGTCTTGACACAGAGCTGCATCCTGGACTTGAGGATGCGGCCTCAGTAGCTCAGCAAGAGTCGGGATGAGATGATTGCTGATAGAAGCTAAACGCTGCAACTCAGTATCAACCTCTGTTAAATAAGCCAGAGTTTCAGCAGCAGCAACGCGCTCTCGTGGTGATCTATCTCGGTGGCAGAGCCTCACTAAGCAAGGCAGTGCTCGATAGACAACTCGTGGGTCAGTCGCTGGAAGAGCTCCAGCTCGGTGCATGTAAGCTACACACCTTGCTGCTTCCAACTGGATCAAAGAACTCCTTTCTCTGCCTATAAGTTGACCCAGAAGTGCTGGTAGTTGCTTATTCTGACCACCTGCTCCTTCTTCATCTTTTTTAGTACCTGTAGAATGAAAATTAATTTAGCAGATATTTGTTAATTTTTTTAACAAATAAATTATGGCAAAAAAAAAGTAGAAAAAAATTGACATGTAGGGTAAATATCCCAATAGATGGACAGATATTATTTCTAGAAGCAATTACATTAGTTTTAAGAACAAAAATCTTAAGTCGTTATTTTTTTTTATGTCTACAAGTATTTTTATTTAAAATAATAGTTTAAAAAAATTATTTAGATTGGACTTCCCGAGGTTTTGCTCCGAGAGCGCCATCACTAGTAAGCATGTGACAGATAGCTGGTGGTCGTTATTTGTTATCATTATTAAAAATAATAAAAAAAAGTTAGATTTTTACCTATGATTACGCTTATATTTCACTAATAAAGCTAGAAAATAATATTTTAATGATAAAATCAAAAAGAAATAATAAAATTTATCACGGAAAAAAGTAAACTGCAATAAATAACAGTCGATTTATAATAAGTAATGATCAACTGCTAAAAATTACCATTTCAAACAGTAAAATCGTGATTTTACTATTCACTTTATATTTAAAATATTTACCATTTAAACGTTACAATTTAATCTTGACATGGAAGAAGATACTATTTCAAACAGTAATATTCGCTATGTAAATGTCTGAAAATGTTTAAGTATAATAATTAAGAATTCAGACTTTGATATTTATCATTTGGTACCTGAAAAATGATTTTATGATATGTAAAAAGTATAAAATAAAGTTAGTAAATTTCTAATACAAGCAACGTCAATATTTACAAAGTAAAATGGTAAATTTTAAACGCAACGCTAAAAATCAAACTGTAATTATTGACTTGCTTGGACTGGTAAAATGTATATTTAAAAAGTATAATTTTTACTGTTTGAAATGTTAAATTCTCCCAGAGTGAGACCCCCTTCTCTTTCATCTGAATTCCCCTTCTTTCTACATTAAATTCTGTAATATTTATATTTTTGCCACCCCGATGTCCGCTTTACTGTTTGAAACTATAAAAATTAACCGGAATCCGAGTGAATATTTCAGTTTATTTTCTTCCGTGTAGTGTCCATCTATTGATGACACTTTTCTGATCTTTATCCAATAGACGGACATCGATTTTATATGATGAATTTTCTTATTTTTTTTTTTTAATTTTATTGGTGGATCAAAGTGAGAATAAGAGTAAAGATTATAATAAACAGACATGTACTGAAAATGAAGGTATTATTATGATTATTGAAGAAATTGAAGAGAAAAAAGAAAACGCTGAATAAAAGTGAAAATTGAGAGAAGGAAATTTAAAAGCAAAAGAGAACAGACCTATTAAAAGGAAGAAGAAGAAGACAACATAAAATGTTTTTAACGTTGTGTTTTATAAATTTATATTGATAATTTATTAATTATTAGTATTGTTTATATTAATATATTTTATATGTTACTTTACATGAGAAAGCATCATGTGTTAAAAATTAATAAAATTACTTTATGATGTACTTTGAAAATTACCATCCGATTTATCACCTTTTCTCTTTAATTTTATCAAGCTTTATTTTTTAGTGGAAAAAATTAATAAATTAATTATTTCTGATATAAATAATGAATTGGAAATATCGCTTGTAAGTAGTGTCCATCTATTGGTATTGACTGTCCATCTACTGGAGATTTTGTCCATCTACTGGGGTTTTGGACTTTTTCTTACATTTTTCTTTTTTATTAATTACTACAACGTTTTACTTATTTTTTCCTGGTTAATTATATATTTTTACATAAATATAATTTAATTTATCCCAACTTATTTTATTTTATTTATTAAAATTTAAATGCCAAAGCAAAAGCCAAATGGCAAAATACAAAAAAAAAGAAATATAATTAAAGTACATGTAAAACCATAAACATAGTCATTTTCAAATTAAAGATTTGACACAATATAACAGTATAAGAAAAAAGGAAAAAAATATATATAAATAATCATAGACCAGAGTAGTGTAGTTTTTGTACTGTAGATATCAATAGATAATGTAAATTATTTTAAGAAATAAAATTATAAAATTAGCAGACTTTGATCCCTAGGCCTCCCTGAGTTAAAGCTCATAGAAGAATTCAAAGGCTTTTGATTTATATGCCTCTATGCTGTATATTATCTGTATATTACTGTATTGTTTTTTTTAATAGAACACGAGAGTTTGCTTAACCGTCCATCTATTGGGGTATTTACCCTAAAAATTTTAAAAATAAAAAAATGCGATTTTTTAAAAATAATTTTTTGGAAAAAATTTATTCGTTTAACGAATTGTTTGTTAGAAAAAATTGATTAAGTGACTGCTAACTTTAATGTCATACCTGTTGAAGTACTAGCGACTACAGTGGAGACCAAGTGATTTTGATAGCACATATTAGCCAAGCAAGCTAGCGCTGGAAGCTGGACATCTGCTAACGGAGAATCTAGCTGCGCTGCTAGTGTCTCAATTGCTCCGCCTTTCATCAGAGCGTTTTGCTCATCTGCTGTCTTGCAGGCGGTGGTTAAGATTGTTGCTACGCACACTTGGCAGGTCACTGATCTAGATGCTAATGATAACAATCTTGATACTAGTGCTGGGTCCTGGTATAAAGATTGCACTGGAGCGTTCGGGTGCTGGAAGACTGTTCTTAAGCAGCGGAGACACGCCTCTATTAATAAGTCTGATAGTTTTACTTTTAGATTTTCAGGGTGGGTGGTTGAAGAAGAGATGAGAATGTCAACGCCTTCGCCGACTGGAGTTGATAGGAGCACTTGGAGAATCAATGGCACTACTCCGAGGTCTATTAGTGCTAGCACATGCTGGTCTGTTCCTTTGGCGAGGGAGCCGAGGGTCACTACTGCTTCCAGCCGGATTCTTTCACCTGCTGTTACTTCTGAGGAGGATGCTGTTGTTGATTGGGATCTTGGTTGGGGCTGGTTGTAGTCGTTTAATAGTTGCAGGAGACGGGGGACCACACCCTGGGCTATCACTGAACCTTTTTGACGGTTACTTCCAATTACGGAATTTTTTAGGCATCTGAAAATTATTTAATAATATTAATAGTGAAAAGCCGACATTTTTAATTTTTTTAATTATTAAATTATATCTAAAAAATATTTTTAAAAAATTGCACTCATAGTTTTTTGATATTTTTACATATAAAAAATTTTTTTTATTTTATTTATTTATTAGAATAAACGCCGATCGGCAATGTACATGAATTAATTAGGACTGATTATTATAAAATGATTTGCAATTGCTTTTTTAAATTAAAATTCTTCAAATTTTTAAATGTCGGCTAACTTAATTTTTATTAATAAATATTACTAAAGTTATATTAAATTATAACTAAAAAATATTTTTTTTAAATTGCACTAATAGTTTTTCAATATTTTTACGTATGAAAATTTTTTTATATTTTGCAATAATTTTATGACATTAATGTTAAAGTTAGCAGTCACTTGACCATTTTTTAATTTTTTTCAACAAAAAAATTTAAAAAAAATTGCACTTTTAATTTTTTTAGATTTCTACAAGTCAATTTTTTTTTTACAATAATTTATTTCTCATAAAAATTCTTAAAATTATTAAATGTCGGCTAAATTAATTTTTATAATAATTTTTTAAATTAAAAAAAAATTTTAAACGGCCAACTTAATTTTTATTAATAATAATAAATTATATGAGACTGAAGTTGACATACAAAATTTTTTATAATTTTATAGCAATTAAATCATTATAAAAATTTTTATAAAAAATCAATTATTACAAAAAGAATATTTTTTAAAATTTCTACATGTGAAATTTTTTCGCTCAATTTTTTTCTTTACAAATTAACAATCTAAAAAATTGTTAGATGTCTGTTAAATTCAATATCATGAAAATTAATAAGAATTATGAGTGAAATTTTTTATTGTAATTGATTTAAAAAAATTTTTTAAATTGACAGCTGACGGCTAACTTCAGTATTATAAAATAATTATATTGGAGTAATTATTTTTTAATGAAAATTTACTTACATTAATGCATCTAAACATTTTTGAGGATCTGGCGAATACAACTCGTCAATGTAACTTCGGGAACTTTCAATGTCCTGTTGAATAATCATCAATTAAAATTAAATAACTTCAATAACAGATTTTATTAATTATTAATTATTAACTAATATGTTAACAATAATAACAATAAGTAAACTTTTATTTATTTCACTTTACATACCATAAACGGCTGCATCACCGAGACCATAACTAACACTTGATTTTATTTAATTTCACATATAAATTTTTTATATTTTACCAAATTATTTTTATGGAGTTTTATTTAATATTTTATAAATTTACCACGAGGAGCCCGTCAAAACGTTTTTGTTGGTTATTACGTGAGAGTGTAAAACGTTTGCTTCTGCTCTGATGACTATATATTTTATGTGTGTAATATAGTGATACATATACATAGTGATACAATATAAGATGCGAATTTATTACACACAATACAACCATATATGTAGCATATAGTATCAAGTGCCACGCACATACGCAGATTTAATTGTGTGTACGTATTATCTGTCATTGATGTATTTGTGATGCTGTGACAGTAGTGTTCATTTTAACTGACAGCTGGTAAAGTGTTAAACTACTTTGATTAAATATTCTACATAATAATCATAATAAAAAATACTTCAGTACTTCAGTGTGTGCCGCTATTACTAACCTAATTTTTTTTGGTTAAATAAAAATATTTTGTTATCTTTTGCAATAATTATTATTGTTAAATAAATAGTTATAATAATGGCGTTGATTCAAGGAATTAAAATTAATAATTTTATTCTACGTACTGGGACAGGTAATGATTTTTAATATTGATGAAAATAAAGTTAGCCGACATCTAAAAATTTTAATGATTTTTTTTATTAATAAATTATTATAAAAAATTAAAAAAAAAAATATACATTTGTTAAAAACTTCAGAAACTATAAGTGCAATTTTTTAAAAATATTTTTTAGTTATAATTTAATAAATTGAGCAAAATAAAAAACATAAAAAATATCGGCTAACTTTATTATTATATAATATTGTCGTATAATAACAAAGTAATAATACAATATTTATTTTTTTATAGGTAGCAATTTGAGTAATATTTATTATAACAAATTTCATGTGTCTTCAATACAACAATTAGATCAAAAATGGCGTAAAAAGTAAGTCAATAATTAAATAAAATAATTACATTAAAATTAGCAGTCATTTGACAATTTTTAAATTGTTTTTTTTTTTTTTTAACAAATACATATTTATTCATTTATTTATTTATTACAAAATAACGCCGATCGGAAATAAAAAGTTATAGTAACAATAATCAATAATATATTTTAAGTGAAGTTTAAATTTAATATAAAATATAGATAATGAAAATGAAAATATCCGAAAAATTATTTAAAAAAAATTCTATTCTTAATTTTTTTTTATTTATTTCTGTACATCAACCTTTTTTTTGTCATAATTTATTAAAAAAAATTATTAAATATCCGCTAAATAAATTTTTGTAATAAAATATTCTTGTATGATTAACTAAAATTATGAAATAATTTAAAAACTCTATTTTTTTTTTTACTTTGAATTTTAGAAATAGATTTACACAAAATCCTAATGCTTTTGGACCTCTTACAAATCTTCCGGATTACTCATTCGCAGATGGAAGACCTGTTCCGTTTGGAGTCAGACAAATGACACGAATTAATAAGCAGAGACAATATTTTGTAAGATTATTATTATTAATTATATTAAAAATAACAGACTGATATTTTTTAAGTTTTTAAATAAATTTATTCATTGTCAACATCTGAAAATATTTAAAAAATAATTTTTATATTTATTATTAACTTAGTTTGTTTGAAAAATATAATACAATTTACAAAAGTCTGCTATCTTTATCATCAAATATTTTGATTTAAAGATATTATAATATTAATTAATTTTTTCAGACAAAAATAAAACAATTAGCCAGTGAAGTTGATTATGCAGTTGAAAGATACAACCGAATCCAAAATGAACTAACGGAGAAAAAGAAAAGTATAATCGATAGTAAATTAAAACCAAAGGGACAAAAATATTTAGCAGCTGCAAAATAAAACTATTTTTTCTCTGTTTATTTTATTTTTCATTTTATATTCTAGTAAGTAAAGATAATAAAATAACGTGAAAATAATTTAATTTAATAAATTTACTTTAAATTTAGTTTATCGTCGAGGTGTGAAAATAAGTTTATGTTCCTTCGGAACAAGAGTTATTCCACAGTGGCCATCTAAATCAACAGTTTCATTATTAGAAATAGAAATCTTAAATTCTTTAACAATTTTTCCGATAAAAATAAACATGACCATCCTGGCGAGTTCATCTCCAACACACATTCGTTTTCCAGTTTGAAAAGGAATAAATGCAGGAGGTTTACTTAAAGATCCATCGGGTAAAATAAATCTTTCAGGGATGAATTCCTCAGGGTTGTCCCAGTAAATAGGATTCATATGTACTGCCCATTGCAGCGGGATAATCATTGCTCCTTTTGGTATATCATAGTCTCCTATTTTTGTTTCTTTAATCGCTCCATGTGGAATTCCTACAGGAACAACTGATCTAAGTCTCTGAACCTCGCAAATAGCAGCTTGTAAAAATATCAATGAAGAACTATTTTCTAAAGTTATTTCTTCTTTATCATCCAAGACTGTTTTCATTTCTTCATAAATTTTTTTCTAAAAAAATCATTTAAAAATTTCTTTAAAAAAAAATCAAAAAATATTTATTAAAAATTATTCAGCTAATAAAAAAAAAAAAAAATTAACCTGTTGTTCTGGTGAAATGGCTATATAAAGTAAAAACCACCGGATTGTAGTTAAAGTAGTATCTGTACCAGCACCAAAAAGGTCAGCTAATAAATGATAATATTGTTGTTCAGTAAATGAACCCACACTATTATTATTCTGTCTCCTGGTCATCTCATCATAAAAAGCCGCGAGAAAATTTTCACTGTTGATCTTGTAATCCTCGGTATTTAAAATTTTTGTTTTATACTGATCAATTAATTTTTGGTAATATTTGTGTGTTTCCAATTTACCATCAACAAGTGACTTCATGATTTGTTTATAATGAGGTAAATATCTTAAAAAAGGTAAGAAATTCAATGGCCCCGCAACTCCGATGTGTTTCACTCCTTCTTCTTGTAAATCACGTAACCACTTCCAGATTTCATCATCCTCGTCGTATACCGTTCCAAATACTAAATTATTCATAACATTGCCAATACAGTGATGTAAAATCGATAATGGATCAATTCCGTTTTTATTATTCAACGATGTGTCATTTAATTTCTAAAATATTCAAAATTTTGTTATAAATTTAAGTTAGCTGGCATAATTTTTAGAATTTATTTAAATAAATAAATTTTTATAAAAAAAATTAAATGAGAAGTAAAAAAATATTTTTTAAAAATTGCACTTGTAGTTTTTCAAGTTTTTTACAAATCACAATTTTTGCATTATTTTTTTTTTTTTTGTATTAATTAAATGAAAATTAAGTTAGCCGACATTTAAAATTTTTTATAATTTTTTTCATTGAGAAAATTATTACAAAAAAAAATTATATTTGTAAAAAACTTGAAAAACTTTAAGTGCAATTTTTAAAAAATATATTTTTGGTCCAATTTAATTAAAAAAAAACTAGAAACGATGGCTAATTTAAGTATTATCACAATTAATTACACAATAATAATTAAAAAATTTTTTTACAATGACCCGTATAGCTTCATTTGATAATTTTATAATATTATTTTCCATAATATCTTTTTTTACACTGTGTTTAACCGCTCCGAAGTTTTTTAAAGTTGCTGATACAAATTTTCTCTGCTCTTTCCAAAGTTCGCCTTCAGCACAAATTAATCCTGTTAAAGTGAAAGATGATATCTTAGAGATTTTATAATTATAATAATTATTATAATAATACTAATAAATAAATATACAATACGACTTACCGTAACCATTCATAATACCGTGAGTTAAATAAAGCGGTGCTCTTCCAGAAAATTCATCCTTCGCTAAAGTAGTACGTATTAATTTCGGGTCTGATAAAACAACAGTATACACTGACCCCATTCTCATACCAAAAATCGGTCCATATATTTCAGATAATTTTGTCAAACTTTTATAAGGCGCTTTTGCGTCAATATTTAATAAAGAGCCAATTATTGGTAGTCCTTTTGGACCCGGCGGGTAATTTTTTTTTTCACTCTTTTTTAATATTATAAGTATTAAAATTAATAATAAAATAATCATTATTAAATATAAAAACAACATAATTATTTTTTTAAAAATTGTTTAAAAAATAAATGGTTCAAAAAACTTTTTAGTTAAAAACGGTCGGACTGACACTGAGATAAAAAAACACAATGGGATGACTTAAATAAACTGATACAGATCAGTAGCGTTCAGATAAATTCCTGCATAAGTAATACTAGTGGACACTGGAGTTAGACACGTTACGTTCAGTCCAGACTTTTAAAACTCTTATATACTCTGTATCTTAGTATCTTATTCTATAACAATAATAAAATTTGAAAAGCAAAAAAATACGCACACTTTTACCTTTTACAAACCACACTGACCTCTTGTGGCTCTTTTAGAGGTTCTACCTATTATTAATAATTTTTTTATTTCTTTAAAAAAATAAAAAAAAAAAAGAAAAAAAATTATTAACAATTTATATATATTTATTATAAAAATACATAGTTGATTTTTTTCCATCAAATTGATAGAATGAGTAGTTAACGAATCTTAAAAGATCTTTTTTATATTTATCAACGCTAATTGTCTTTAAATACTTTTTGATATTTTTAGAGCTTATAAAAATAATATTTTTAGATAAAGATAGTAATTATTTTATTTTTTAAAAATACTTTGTTTTAAGTTCGTTGAAAATAGATGAAATATTTAGAAGGAATTTTTAAAAATTATAAAAAAATTCAAAATTGAATTTTTGATTGTAAAATATTTTGAATTTATGGTACGATAGGTTTTTCACCTACTCCACCTGCATATTCATAAACAGCTAAAGCTACTTGAGCGGCTAATTTGTCTACATCCGTTTGATTTTGGCACTCAGTGTAAACTCTTATAATGTCTTCTGTTCCAGAAGGTCTAAATAAATTAATAAAAATTATTTATATTAATTTTTATGAGTCATAAAATGAAAAAAAATTAAAGATTAAATTGATAAAATAAAATATACCTGACAAATGATCGACCTTTCGGGTATTGAGATACTAATTGATCAATCTTATCTTGTAAACCCATTGGAGAAGTACATTGTCTTTCTGCATCGGTAGTTTTAATAATATTTCTATCTACAACTTTAACTTTTAATTGCTTGTTTGGAAAATCCGAGTAACATTGCTTCCAAGTAACAATATCCCAATCTTTAGCGTATAAAATTGTTTCAACTAACAGCATATCGCTGAGAGCATCTCCGACTGCCTGATTAATTATATCGATGAAATTTGACAATTCAGTCATAGCACTGCGTTGTTGACTTGAGACGCTGTAATTAATTATAATTAATAACTAGCAACCTTGCTTTCAAGAGCTTTCATTTGAGTACCCACATGCATTTTGATATATTTTTCATATATACATATATATAATATATATAAATATATGAAAAATTGATGTGGGTACTCAAATGAAAGGTCTTGATGAGTGTAACATCGGGATGAGCTTAGATCTTTAAAAATGCCAATAGTTCACAAGATACAAAGTCATTTAAACTACTCTTACTTTTTATCTGAAATAAATTCCCGAATCATTTTAACAATTTCATCCTTTACAATTGCAGTACCGTGTCCATTAGCTTCAAAATATACTCCAATATCAAACTGTTGAGCTTGATGATGAAGATGTTTAACACCAGTCTCTGTGAAAGCGACTGGGACTTTCTATTAAAGAAAAAAAAAAAAAGTAAAATTAAATTTATCAATATTATCAACTTAAGTGAGTTATAATAAAATATTATATATTTAATACCAAAGTTTCAGTGACATAATTAGTAGATGCTCCGTTAGCATAAGCTGTTTGGACTAAACCCAGTTTAATAGACAAACCACTTGCTTCAATGAGTTCTTTGAGATAACTTACAATCAAAATGGCTATTTTATCTCCATCAAGTAAATTAAATTCATTTTTTTCATCTACATAATAATAAACCAGTCTATCAGCATCTCCGTCAATACTTGCACATTTTAAATATGGCTTAGAAGGATTATTGAGAGGAGGAGCTTGATGAATCTTCACAAAATCTGCTCCACACTGTAATTTAGTAATCAATAATTAAATCCCTTAAATATATAAACACCCAGAAAAAAAAAAATAATTAATACCTTGTAATTAAGTTTTCCATCCCCATCATTGAAAATATTAATAGTTAAAAAATTACTCAATTGTTCTTTAAATTTTTTAGCAGCAAAAGCACCAACACCATTGGCTGCATCTACATAAACTTCATTTTTATAATTTATTTTTTTAACAATTTTATTCTCAACAGTCTGACTTTTTTTAAATGCGCTGCTCAGCTTATCAAAATATCCTTCTATAGTCGCCACACCATACAGCTCTTTAGTATTAATACAAACAACTAAATAATGTAACTGAGGTGTTGTAATCACTCCAAAATCTTTAACAACTGCCTTCATAAATTTTATCGGCTTGACAGCAGCTTGCGACAATGATACTCCACTTTCTCTGGTATCTCTGCCAATAACTATCAACGCAGGAGCATTTTCATCAATATTTTTCTCTCTAATAATTTTTTTTATTTTATCAATTAATTCAGAGTCAGGAACTCTTGCAAATTCTGTTGCAATTTTCTCCCAATCGGCTTCTAACATCTCTCCAGCTGGATCAACTATTTTAATACCATTATCAGGCTCTTCATTGTGACTAGCTGTTATCATTAATCCGATTGCTGCACCATTAAAAAATTTAGATCGTAAAACTGATAGTACTCCCATTCTATAAACTACATGTGGTATTAATTCAGCTCTGAAAAATTTTTAATTATTATTATTTATAGACTTAAGTACAAATTTTACAGTAAAACTTTGATACTCTCTCATCCCATATTATATTAAATCATTTACATCAATGTCCCTTATTTAATTAGAACTCTACATATCGATTAACAGTATTTTTAATTAATAATTTTACTTAAAAAAATATTTTTTATTAATTTTACCTCATTCGAAATCCCGCTGTACCATATTGAATATTTTTCAAATTATTATTTGGATAGTCAGCACGTGAAATTTCATCAATTGCCGCATAATCCATCTGTCAAAAAAAAATTTTTTTCTATTTAATATTTATAAAAAAAAAAATTATAAATTAAACAATACTTACTTTTATTTTTAGTTTTTTTTTTTGAGATAAAAATAAAATTCCGTTAGGAATGTAAAAGTGAACGGTGTTGTTATTTATCTCACAAGTAACCAGATCATGTCAACAAGTAGTAACTGTTTAACGCACTATATCTTATTATTAAAAATGATACTGAAGTTAGCTGTCAGCTGTTAATTTTAAAAATTTTTTTTTTAAATTTCACTAATAATTTATGACATTAAAGTTAGCAGTCACTAGAGAATTTTTCAATTTTTTTTAACAAACAAATTTACTCCAAAAAATTATTTTTAATTTTTAAAAATTTTTACATGTCAATTTTTTTTATATTTTTTTTTTTGCCATAATTTATTTGTTAAGAAAATTTCTAAAAATTATTAAATATCTACTAAATTTATCATCATTAATAACTTTTATTATTATTATTATTATTATTATTTTTATTAATTTTATTTAACAAAAAAATTTGTTCCAAAAAATTGCATTTTTTATTTTTCATGAAAATAAAGTTTGCTGACATTTAAAAATTTTTTGTTGAAAAAATTTCAATTAAACAATTAAAAAAAAAATTGTCACATGTAAAAAACTTGAAAAACTATAAGTGCAATTTTTTATAAATATTTTTTTAGCTGTAATTTAATTAATAAAAAAAATCAAAAATTTTTAGACGTCTGCTAACTTCAGTG